GGCCCCAGAGCCATGAAATCTTCCAGACTGTCCTCAATTCTAGTGCCCCCTGCCCTGATCTCTGGGGTCAGGCTGAAGTCCTTGCTTCTTATTCTATCAAGGATTAGGGTAGGAAGAAGACGTCTACTCACAGGATCTCACTTCATTTGACTAATCCAGTCCTCTAATGGAGATCCTAAGGTAAGCAGTGCTACAGTGAGTGTCTTTACAGGGGTCCGTGTGTCCCATCAAGGCTGTCATCCAAGAGTGGATGGCTGGGTCCTAGCATACCTGTGTACCCAGTCTTATGCTGCAAGCCACACTGGATCACTGGACTAACCTGATATTTCCTTGGGCCCCAGCCTCCCCCACATATGACTTTGTGCAGTTCCCCAAAATTTGCCACCTTTATGACAATGTGCATCTGATTTGGGTTTTACTTTTTCCTTCCAGTGACATCAGTGATGTCAAGCATCTCTTCATGAACTTCATGTCCAGTAAATTCCCTCTGTGAATTGCCTGTTCACATCTTTTGCTCATTTTTCTATCTTTTTTTTTTGTACTAGAAATTGAACTCAGGGCTTCATGCTTGCCAGGTGGGCTGAGCTACATCCCCAGCCCTGTTCATCTTTTTATTGTTGATTTTCTAAGTTCGTATGTTACTTTGTTACTTTATCTTTGTATTATTTTAAAGAATTTCAAACAAAAAGTTACGTGATTATTATAACAGATTTTCCAATTATTAATATCTTTCTACATATGCTTCATTTCTCTTCCTAGAAACATATATATGTGCTATTAAATATAAATATAAATATGAATATAAATATATATTCTTGGTGTATGTGTGTATTTAACCCAACTATCAATTGACTGCAGTTCTCTGGGCCAAATACTAGGTTGTTTAGTTGTTTTTCACTATGAAAAGAACCAAAAGACATAACATACAATTTATCATCTTAACCATTTTTAATTTTACAGTTCAGTCAAATATATTCACATTGTTGTGAATATATATATATATGTATATATACATATATTTATTTGACTTTTTTTTTTATCAGTACCGGGGATCGAACTCACGACCACGGGCTTGCAAAGCAGGTGCTTATGCCACTGAGCTAAATCCCCAGCCCCATTTGATATTTTTGAAAGCAAGTTGCAGACATTAGAATTTGAGTATGTCACTACTAAATATTTCATTGTAAATCTCCTGAGAACAAAGATCCTCTCCTATGTAAATCATAACAACAATTGCTGTTTAACATTAATCAAAATTAATATCAAATTTAAAGTTCATATTCAATGTCTCCATTTATCCCCCAAATTTTTGACACTGTCAGAAATACCTCCCGATTTGCTACCTACTTACTAATTTCATCAGTGAGGATCTTTGTGTAGCAAAATCTTTGATTTTGTTGTCATCAAATGCATTCATTTTTTTCTCCCTAAAGAAAGCTTTGGGGGGGGTCCTTATGTTAAAAAGTTCTTATCCATCCTTAAATTGCAAAGATATTTTTCAATAATCTCTCCTTTGAGCTTTAATAATTTTATCTTTTGGAGGCTGGGGATTTAGCTCAGTGGCATAAGCGCCTGCCTTGCAAGCAGGCAGTCGTGAGTTCGGTCCCTGGTACCGATAAAAAGGAAAAAGAAAAAAAATTAATAATTTTATCTTTTAAATTTAGACCTTTAAAACAATTAGATCTTAAGGGGGTTTCCTTTATAGTGGAGGAAACAGAGGTTCAACTTTTTATAGTCAACAAGGTTTTCCAATGCCATTTAGTGATCTTTCCTTTCCTGGTTATTCATGGTCCTCCCCACTCACCAAGTCCCTGCTCATGTGGGTCTGTTTTCACGCTCCTTCTTGCCATGCATCTATCTGCTCAGTCCCACACAGTTCTTGTTTCCATGTCTTTGCCTCATGCTTCCATACCCTTCTGTTGGACTCATCCTCTTCCTTTCTTTCTTTCTTTCTTTCTTTCTTTCTTTCTTTCTTTCTTTCCTTCCTTCTTTCAAGGCAGGGTCTCACTATGTAGTTCAGGCTGGCCTTGAGCTCACTACATAGCCAAAGCTGACCTCAAACTCAAGGTGATCCTCCTGCCTCAACCTCCCAAGTGCTAGGATTACAGGTGTGCACCACCACAGTCAGTTCACCCATCACCTTCTTTGATTCTTGTTTTTCAAACTAGACAGCTATGTGGAGACTTTTATTCCACCCATAGCTGTCCAGCCATCCTTGACATCGTTAGCATGACATTGCCAAGTGACACATGAAGGTTTTATTGGTGAGAACCCATTTCACATGTATGACAAGATGCCAAATTTTATCTTGAAAATAAAGGATGGCTAATATTTTTTGAAGTGACTTTGTGGCCCAGTTCACAAGTTCAGAGGTATAAGAAAAAAACTTCCATTATCTCACAGTGTAACAAATTTCTTTTAGGTGCTTGTAGTCTGCTGGGGAGCAGAAGCATCATTTCAGTTCCTTGGGGGTCTGTTCCCCATTGCTCTGGAGTGCCAACTTTCAAGGCTTTCAGACAACCCAGGTTTCGGGCAGAGAAGAGATCCATTAAGAGCACCATGTCACGAGATAGTGGCTGTCACTGGGCCTCTATCGTCCCATCTGGCCCTCCAGGCTTCTCTGCTGCTGCTTTTCCTCATCAGGCTCCTGGCCCTTGTTCTGTGTCTCCATGAACAGGACTGGAAAAGGCTGGGAGGCTCTGTGTACCTAGGTGTGCCACAGAACCACTCACTACCTGGGCTCTGACCACCTCTCCGAGTTCTACCAGGATAAACTGGCACAACTGCCCTCAGATCTCACAGACCTGGCAGGTCTTCAGCAGTATCCCGTTCCCTCCCTGGAACCCACTGATAGCTGCTTCTCTCTAACAGTCATGATCTTTCAGAATCAGAACCAACAGGAAGTGTGGAGAGAGAGAAATGCTTGTTATAAAGAATTGGTTCCCACAGTTACAGGAACTGGCAAGGCCAAAATCTAAAAGGTGGGCTGGCAACCTGCAGACCAGGAGGACTGAGGTTCTAGTTCAAGTCCAAGAGCAGGGAACTGCAGGAACAGGAAGAACCAAGAATCCAGAGGTCTCAAAGCAGCTGGCTGGAGAAGTCTCTCTTGCTTAGTGAAGAATGATATTTTTGTACTATTTGGGCCTTCAACTGATTAGATCACATTATAGAGGGCTTTCTCCTTTACTCAAAGTCTGTCAATTTAATTGTTAATCTCATTCAAAACACTCCCACAGAAGCACTCAAAATAATGTCTGATGAAAGAATTGGACACCTAGGGGCCCAGTCAAGTTGACACAAAATTACCCTTCATACTCCTTTTGATTACTGCCCTGTCAATCCAGGTCCAGTCAGAAACGTTAACATAGAAGACTGATTTTTTAATGAGATACAGATCCTGCCATAGAAGTCACTTTTAAGGGTGGGACTTCAGTATATTCATAGGATAGTACAATCATTACCACTATCTAATTCCAAAATATTTTCATCACCCCAAAAAGAAAACCCACAACCATGAGCAGTCAACAAGAAGATGCAGTAACTCGGAGCAAATGTTATTAGCCTGTTTTCCATTGCTGTAACAAAATATCCAAGGCTCAACATTTTGTAAAGAAAAGAGGCTTGTTTTGCTTCCAATCTTGAAAGTCCAAGAGGAGGGGCCCACCATAGTTAGAGGTTTATTTTGGCTCATGGTTTTTAGAACATTCAGACCATGGTTGGTTGGCTTTTGGTGCAGAATTTCATGGTGGGAGAGTCTGGCAGAAGAACAGTACTCATCCCATGGTAGCTGGGAAGCAGTAAGAGAAGGCAAGATCCAAGAACAAAAGTACAAACCCCCAGTCATGTCCCTGCGACCCACCAGAGCCCACCTTCTAATAACATATTCAGCTATTGAACCCATGGGTGCATAAATCTACCGATGAGAACAGCTCCCTCATGATCCAATCACTGTGTAACACAGGAGACTTCATGGGGACATTTTAGATCCAAACTTCACACCCTCTATAGGCACACTGCATGTAAAGTGACCCTGACAGTGACAAAGGACACCTGGCTCAGCTGAGGTGGACACGGGAACATAATCCAACTGACATTCTGCAGAACGGCACCTGTGTTAAACCAGCCAGCAGCTGCCTTGGTGAAGCAGAACTGTCCTCATTTCCAGTCCATCAAACTGGTACTAGTGAGGGTTCACAGTCCAGCCTCACAAAGGGCCAAAGTGACCCTGACAGTAGCATGCACAGGGGAGCCAATCGTCTGTGCCCTCTCCCTGTCTCCCAGGATGTCTGCCACCTCTCCGCCCAGTCCAGTTCTGACCACAGGCCTCCTCCTGTTTACCTTTGGTAAGTCAACACTGTTTGATTTACCCAAGTGATGTCTGAGCCTGGGTTTTCCTTTAATTTAAGTCCATTGTTGGCATTTCTCAATACAGTTTAATGTTTGTACTATTTCCCATTACCTGAAGAACTTAAGTTTTGAAATGTAAAAAGCTGGCATAAGATCCTTTCTCCTGTGCATTTTTGATGTCCTCTCCTCTCGTCTCTAGGAGTCAGCACACAATGACTCAGTTGCTTCCCAGTAGAAGGTAGAGTGGGGAAGAGAAGCATTCCGTCTGTTTTTTGGTTATTTTGTCCTTACAGTTCGATTTTTGAGATATTACACGTATCAAGTTCACAAAACAAAGACGTGCAGCTACAGTGAGTATCCATGTAGCCACCAGCCAGGGTGAGAACTGCAACATGGTCAAGCCCCCCAGAACTTCCTGTGTGCCTATAGATGGCAGTAATCAAGGGTCCCTGCATCTGTGCCCACTCTGCTGCCTGTGGGGTTCTGCCTGTGTCAGCTCAGCCAAACTGGAATCAGACCTCCAGGAACCCCTGAGTTACCCACATACATAACTCAGTGAGTCAGACCAGGCCCCCCTCCTAGTGTTCCCATGCACTACATCCAGGTTTTCCTGCCCATGCAGGCAATGCACAGCCAAAGTGGCCCCGACTCACCAGCAGACATTAGGTTGCAAATCCTCAGCCCTGGTAGCTATGCAGGGGCACAGCCTCCTACTAGCCCCTTCTCTCCCACCAACAGCTCTGCCAGCAACCTGGCCTGCCTGAGTGCCTCGTCTCTGGAGCTCTAAAGCATCCGGCTCACATCTCACAGGCTTCCAGGGGCTCAGGGAGTAGCTTTTCCCCACCCTTCAGCTCTTTTTCTGAGCCTGCTGGTCCCCACCTCCTCCCATGAATACATTACATCTAGTTCCTCCAGATCACCTCCCATTCTGCAATATTCATAGGGCTCCACTTCCCTGCCTAATACACAGGTTTTCATGGTAACCACTTTCTTCCTCTTCTTTATATTATTACCAAGTAGGCATGCATACTTAATCACTGTAGTTTCATCTTGCCTGCTTTACAAAAATAATGCATGAGTGGAATCATTTAGTTTATTTGGTTTTATTTACTCAACACTGCAAGTTTCATCCATATTGTGAGAAGCTTATTTCCTTTCTTTGCTGTGAGATTTTCTTTACAAAAGAACTCACAATTTTTTTTATTCTATTGTTGATGAACATTCACGCCATCCATTTGGACTGTAAATAATGCAGCTGTAAAATTCTTGCCATGTGTCCTAGTGTCATTGAGTGTGTGTGTCCAGTTCAGTAGACAAAAATCAAGCTGGTGGTTTTACCAATGTTTATTCCCACCAACATCCAAATCCTGCTATTGGTCTTTTCATGTTAGCCACTCTGCTAGATGCCTAAGAAATACCCAGTTGTTTTAAGTTGCACTTCCCTGGTAATGAATTATTACTTATTAGTCTTATTTGAGGTGTCTGTTCTGCTTATTTTTCAGATGTTTGCTTGTTCTCACTGGCTTGTAAGAATTCATTATATATTTTTAATATCTTTGAACATAAGCACCTATTTCCATCTTAAGTGTTGTGTAATGAGTCCGGATGCATGTATATACTGTTAAGTCTTTTAATTTTTTTCTCTTCTTCTTCTTTCTTCTTTTCCTTCTCCTTTTTTCTTCCTCCCCCTCTTCTTCTTCTCCTCATGCACATTAGGGAAGCTACTTACTACACACCAGCCCTTCTTTTTCAAATTTAGTTTGCTATTCTTGATTCTTCACAATTTGACATATTAAAAATTCGCTGGGAGCCAGGGATCAGCTCAGCGGCACACATGCCTGCCTGGCAAGCACAAGTTCATGAATTGAATCTCCAGTACCCACCAAAACAATTTTTAAAAAACTCTGTTGACCAATATCTGGTTTTAAGAAGTGTTCTTGGGTTTAGACTGATTCATAGATTTGCCACCCCAATTTGGACAGAATTGGCATTTAACAGTATGGAATCTTAGAACATATAAATCTGGTTAATTAAATCTTTAATCTCTCAGCATTTCTTTACTTTTCAGTGTACAACTTCTTTATTGTATTTAACCCTATGTATTTTTATTTTTGGGTAGTGTAGCCATAGAATTCTTTTTCATTTTCAGATTGTTTCGTGCTAGTATATTACAATCAATTTTTACATATTCTACTTACAGTCTGATGTTTTTCTACATTTACTTTTTAATTCCAGTAGATCTGTAGATTCCCTGAAATTTTCTATAGATACAATTGCATCACTTGAAAATAAGTTTTACTCTTTCTTTGCAATCTATGTTTTTTTAAATTTCCTTTCCTTGCCCTATTGCTTAGGTAGGTCCTCCCATGAAATAGTGAATGGAAGAAATGAGAGTTTCATGTGACCTGGTCTCAAGGCAGATCTACTCTCCTACAAGCAACTCAAATCTACCCTTCTTTATGGCAGCATGTACTCTATTGCGCATGAATATCACATTCATCTCTCAATGCATTATAGATTGTTCCAAGATTAAGCTATTATGAGTTGGGTTACTGTAAAAATGAGTGCAATATAATATCTCTAACTCTTTTGGGAATACCCAGGATAAAAGGAATTTTTATTTTTTGAGTAATCTTTATTCTAATTTCCATAGAGGTTATACTAATTTACAGTTCCATCAACACTGTAGAAAGGTTCCTCTTCTCCACAGCCCCACCAGCATCCATTATTATCTGAATTCTTTTTTGTTTCATTTTGGTGTTTTTGTTTTTGAGACAAAATTCCACTATGTAGTTGACTCCACTATGGCCTCAAACTCCCTTCCCTCCCAAGTACTGGGACTAATGGAAAGCAGCACCACCACCAATTATTATTTTAATTCTTAATAGCCATTCTTTATGGAGGCAAATGGAATCATAGTGTTATTTTAATTTTCATTTTTCTCATAGTCAAGGATGTGCAACTTTTTTTCAAGTTATCTATTGGTCACTTGTACTTCTGAGAAATGTCTATTCATTTCAGTTGCCCATTTTTTAATTGCATCTTGCATTGAGGGTGCTAATCTTTCTGGAATATATACATATATATATATATATATATATATATATATATATATATATTCTACATATTATTTGTGTCCCAGGAGTAGCTGACAAAATTTTTTGCTCATTCTGTAGTTTGTATCTTCACTCCATAGGCTGTTTCCTTTGTTGTACCAAAGCTTTTTCATTAGGTATGATTCCTTTTGTTGATCCTTGATGTTATTTCTTATGAAATTGGAGTTTTTTCAGAAAGTCTTTATCTGTGCCTAATTCAAGAGTTTCACCTTTCTAAAAATTTTTCCCCAGTAGATCAAGTCTCTCTGTTTTAATATCCAGGGCTTTCATCCATTTTTATTTTACTGTCTGCTAATGGATAAGGGTCTAGATTCAGTCTTCTGCATATAGGTAGTCTATCTTCCAAGTACCACTTGTTAAAGAGGTTATCTTTGCTCCAGTGTATTTTTTGCCTTTGTCAAAAATCTGATGGCTGAATAACCTCTGTTCTGTTCCATTGATCCACAGTCTGTTCTGTGCCTGTATCGTGTTGTTTTTTTATCAGAACAGCTTTGTAACATAATTTGAAATCTTCATCTTATGTATACTTCACCTCTGATGGCTTAGACAGTCAGCAACCTCACAAGATACTAGCATTCATAAATGAATTTTAACTAAGAGGGTTTAATTGTGATAAGAAGGGTCAAACTGGGATGTGAGAGGTATCAGTATTTGGATAAGTTGAGGGGCATCTTCAACAGAAGAAAGAACAGAGATCTTGAGTGTGGTATAATTGCTCAGAACTTAGCTCAAATTCCAGCTCTGTGACTGAGCAGACACCTGGACTTGCTCAGTCTTGGCTCCCTCTCTTGTGAAACAGGGCAAACAACACCCATCTGAAAGGACTGTTAGGTGAGGTCTCATTAGAATGTCTGAAATGTAATCCTTGCTCAATAATGACAGTTCCTCTTCTTTCCTTCCAAACCAAACCAGTCCAAGTTTTCCTGATCATTTTAGCTAAGTTTTAGAGAAGACTCAGTAACACTGAAGAGGAAAGAAATAGGAAGATTAGTCAAAACAAAAACAAGCAAAAGAGAAACAACAGAGCTTAGAGAAGAAATGATGCGGGAAACATCTTCCATTTGTACAACTTCATGCTTTGCCAAAGGGCTCTCCTGTTATTTCAGCTGAGCCTCACTCTGTGAAATTGATGGGCAAACACTACTTCAGCCCACTGAAAAATGAGGAAACATCATGTCCAGTCTAGTTTTCCTATAGTTTCTTTGGCATGTGCTGGTTAGTTGGAATGACCATAATGATGCCACCACTACATATGTAGGGCACTTTATACTGTGCATCTCTCACGTTTATTTTCTCATTTAGTTCTCACAAGAATTTCTGCCCAATTTGTAGATGAGGAGTCCAAAGCTTCAGAAAGCCCAAGCAACCAGCCCAATATCACACAGCCCAAGTGGAGGCTGAACTCAGGTCTCTAACAAGTTCAGGGCTCATTAGTCCATGGATTACAATCACCCTAAGGCAACTAAGAGCACCAGGGATGTGAGGAAAGGGTGGACGGGTCTGGGGTAAGAGAAGTATGCACCTTCTCCAGCCCCAGGGGAGTACTGTGGATGTGTGGCTTTGGCCCTCATGGTCACAGTGTCTGCCACAGCCAGCACTTTGCCTAGGTCATTTAGCATAATCTGCAGCAATGTTGTGATGGCTTTTATTGATGGCTTTTATTCCCCACTGGGACAGCATGAAAATAATAAGATGAATAATGAGCTTGTAGAGATGGATGCACTCAGAGCCAGCTCCTGCAGTAGAGAATTATATGCTGGGATTGTGCCTGGAGCAGTCGGGACGATGGATGTTTCTGTGGAAGGCTGGGCCTCATTCGCTCCTCTGGCAACGAGCTGCTTCTCCCCACAGACACAGAGAGCTTAAGAGGTAATAGCTCTGGCATCTCCCGGTTCCAAGAGTGGGGATGAAATGAGTATTGATGCTCTCAGAGATGACAGAGCAGAACTTGCATCCTGGGGCTGCAGAGCAGAGCTGCATTTAACCCTGCAGTCGCTGGCAGGAAGCCTCCCTAGCCTGCCATATCCTGCAGTGTCCAGGTAGCCACCAGCTTGATCACATGCCGTGGCTGCTTGCTGTGGAGTGGCAGGCTGAGTTAGTTCTCTGCTGCTGAATCCCAAGCCACTCCAAGACTTAGGGGCTTCGTATCGTTATTTTATTATTCACTGTTCTAGGCTCAGCAAGGATGGCATAGCTCTGCTCCACAGTGTGTGGGTTTGGGTGGCCTCCATGAGGCTGGAGGACACAGGATGGCCCTTCTCTATTAGGTGGGGGGCTTCGGTTCTCCATACAGCCTCTTTCCAGCAGGTCATTCTGGCTTGTTTCCATATCCTGAGGGTCTTAGAGAAAATGAAACTGCAAGTCCTCTTGGACCTGCAATTAGTAGTCACTGCTACACGCTGTCTTCATCCAGACTCAAGAGGCAGAGAAATATTCTGGTTCTCTGGAGAGGAGGACTGCACGGTCACAACAAAGTGGAACTAATCGGGGCTCACCGGAAGCAGACTGAGCTAGAATTTAGTGAGCAGGATACTTGTTGAAGACGACTCTTGGATAGCCACATGTGGAAGGAAAGCCACATGAGGAGCAAGGCAGAGGGGGAATAAGTCCCAGTCAGGTCCGAAGACAGCCTCCACTGACACCAGAAGCTGCGATGCTAGAATGTCCCTCTCAGAGCTAACCCAGTGAACCAACAGCAGATGCTTGCCATAAAGGACATGTGTGCCCCAGAAAGGGCCACAACCTTGGGTAAGACAGTCTCTGAAAGCACAGACCACAGCCCATACCCTCTCTACAGTGGAAGGGTGCTCTGGGTGACCTCCACAGTGTCTCCCCAACCTTCTCCCACACTCACTTTGATTTCCTCCTGAGCTCGCCCCCACTCAAGTGTGCTACCCACCCAAAAGACAAAGCAAGGCCCTCAGCTTCCCTGGGATACTGGTTCTAACCTATCCGGTGCTGTCTGCATTCTCAGCATCCTCCTCCACATCCAACCTCCCCTCCCTCCCTGCCTTCATCCTTTCCTCCTTCAATGCCAAGGTTTCCACACAGCCCCAGCTGTCTCTGGAAAATAGTTACCTACCCATGGAATCTTCCTGATTAAAGCCCTTCCCTCGTTCCACCCTCTCAGGACTAAACTCTGGCTTCTTGCATGGCTTCCCAGGCCATGTGTGGCCTGCTTGGGGGCACAGGTCAAGCTCAGCTGCTTCCTCCTCGCAGGCCTTGCTGACCCTTGTGCGATCTGGGCAGCCTCCCAAGCTGCTCCAGCTGCTGTGTGCTCCATGCAGCACCCTCCTCACCACTTCTCCTTTCTCTCCCCAGCTGACTGTCACTTGTCAGTTAATCCTTCACCCTGGACACCTGCCAAGCCCCTAAGCCCACACATGTTCCTTTCATTCCTCCCCATGCTAGCCCTCTGTACCTGGCAGCGAGGTGCTAAAGATGCCTATCTTCCACCCACTAGAGGCGAGCATCTCAAGGTGGGCCCCTGTCCTGGAATCCCAGGCCTTTGAGTGCAGAGCTATGCAGACCCACGTGACAAGCACATTACAATGCCACACTTGTCCCATTCTCTGGGCTCCACTACTGTGCTGACAGCTGGATGGGACAAGTGGAAGTGTTGGAGAGGACTCAGCCTGAGTCATGATGAGTGCTGTCCCAGAGAAAGAAAGGCTGCCCTGGAACACAGGCTGGGACACAGCAGTGCCCACCCATGGCATAGCATGGTGAGGTCCCATCTGGGTAGAAGAAATGCACAGGAAGCCAGGTAGACAGGCTTGGGACTAATATTCGGGGCTCTGCTACTGCCGGACATGTCCATGCTGGCCCTCAATGGGGTAAAATGCAGTCTGGCTTCCTCCTGCCCCACAAGAACACTGCCAGCCCATAGTGCCATGGCAATTACCCTTAGCTTCATAGGTCTTCCCAGTAGCCAAAAGATGCCCACTGCACTTTCCAGGTCAGGAAACTAAGGCTACAGAGGTTAAGTGGCTCAGCCAAGATCCTCACCATTAGTATTAGGTAATGTAGGATTGTCATCCAGCCTCCCAAGAACACCTGAGGCTCTGCAGGAGGCCCAGGGAGGGTCAGAGAGAAATGCTCCCATAGCCAGTGAGGATGGATCCCGAAGTTTCACCTGGATAAATCACACCACCTCGGACAAACACAGGACTTGAAGGTGACTAAGAGACTATGTTGCCTTGCTACCTCCCTTTCCTATTCAGTTTTTGTTTTGTGGGCCCTGAGGACTGTGGCTTAGGACCCATCTGAATCTCTGTGTGAACAACTGGTCCACTGCTTTTCAATGCTTTGCAGCTGCGTCCGCCCTCAGCAGCTGCCTACTGCTACAGGGATGGGCACCCAGATGACAGGGCAGGTCACCCACAGACATAGCTGTTTTTAAAGGTGAGAAACAAGGCCAAGGAGTAGAGAGATGCTCGGCCCAGCATCTGCCCATAGTTGGCATTCCAGGTGGCTTTTACCAACTCCTGGGGAAGAAGTCTTTCTCCTGCCTAACCTCTGCATGCCCACTCAGGGAATAGTTCTGGATAGTCTTACTTGGATGTCCACACCCCTGAGTAGGTCCTGTGATCAGGGGTAGGTTATTCTGATAGGATGATTTTAGATTATGTGACTGAGTGGGGCGCTTCCTCATCTCCCTACGGGGGACAGATAGATGGAAAAATGAATAAAGAAAAGAAGAGTCCTGGCAAAGAGAAATAGCAGGGAGTCATAATCACCCCAAGACCACAAATACAGGGAAGAATACTTTAGTAGAGGTGAAAGGCAGAATGTGAATGTCCTAAGGGGCAAGTCCACCACCTTCTGGACATGCACATTTCCCTACAATGTACTGCCACTGTAGGGAGAGGAGCCTGGTGCCTCTCTGGTCACTCTGGAGTACTGAGAACAGCGGCACTCTTAAGGTTGCACACCACTCCTCATCTTGTCCCAAGTCAAGGACTCTGCTTACAAACATGACCAGGTTTGCACACAAGCAGCCACAGACACAAGAGAATCTCAGGACACTTACAGGAGCTCTCTTCTGCCCAGCATAGTGTCCTATCCTTGCTGAGAGTGTAATCTCTCAGAAAGCAAAGGAACAAGAACCACCACCTGCACTGGCTTACTTCTGGTCAACAACGAACCAGCTGCTGAAATGGCAGAGAAAGGAAATTGAGAACACATAGCCATCAGTGTATAGCTGTGTGGTGGAGGTATGTATCCATACCTGTCACACACTCCTGTTGTCACCTTGAACATCTGAAATGTATGCTGGGCCCAGGGAGGGCCACCTGGAAGGCTCAGAGTAAGTCCTTTCGGAAGCTGTCCAGGGCCGCCCAGAGATGGGACTTGTACCCAGCTCACTTTCCCTCCCTGGGCAGTACTGTAGTATGTTGGGCAGGGTCTTCAGGGTCACCCAGTGGCTTCTTTGCTCCCTGCCTCACTTCACCATGCTACCATCATTTTCTGGGGTCACTGTCCAAACAAAGCTATTTGCACTCAAATGCCCTCAAGGACCAACAAAGACAATGTGACAACCAAGAAAGTAAATTCTAGAAGCCAGAGACAGTGGTGGAGTAGATAATTCTCTAGGCTTTGGAATTAGACAGTTTGTGTTTGAATCTGCCTTGCTAATATGTAAATATTTAGCATTAAAATGATTGTTATTTATAGACATTGGAAAGTAGATTTCAAGAGAGGCAGAGCTAAGAACTCTAGAAAAGGAAGATGGCACCAGAAGGATGGAAGATTTCTTAAAATTTGGAGAATATTCAAATAATTCATTCTGCAGAGCCAACTACAGAAAGACAGTGTCCTCTCAGGGGCACGTCTCTAGGAGGCCAGGTGTTTAAAGGGACAAAGGGCAGAAGGCGCAACTCTAAGCAAGATAGAGAGCTAAGGCTCCTATCCCAGCTTGTAAGATGAGCATGGGTGAAGCCAAGCCCAGGACATGCTGGGGCTCAGGACAATAGAAAAGGGCTTTGTTCAAACATGTTCTGGACAAAACCAGGAATGAGGAGGGACAAGCCAGTGCTTGAGGCAGAGTGCACTCTTTACAGGTGACAGAGAGAAAGCCAAACTGCACCAATTCCAGCTTGCTCCTTTCTTTCCCATAGAGGTGAATGATTTAAAACACAAAAGGTGAAGACAGAGCTAAGATGAAATCAACACTTGACTATAATCCTTGCTTAGCAGGGTTACTAGACAGAAATGCCGGTGAGTGAGCAAGGCTGGGCTCGGTCTGGGAAGCTGTGAGCTTTCAGGCTCCAGCGTGGTGGGCAAGTTGCAACTAGGAGTGGGCTGAAGGGCCTGTCTTTAGTTGTAGCTGGCTCTCCAAGAAACTAGACAAAGGTTTTAACACAGAAAAGTCCCTAAATCAGTAGTACTCACTAAGGGACAATTGTGTACACACACAGCCCACCCTTGTGCCAGGGGACTTTTGGCAATGTCTGGAGACTAATTTTGGTGACTACTACAGAGATGTGTGTGTTAGGGGATGCTACTGACATTCAGCGTGCAGATGCCTGGGGAGCTACACGACTTCCTCCACTGCTCAAGCCAGGACCCACCTCTAACGAAGAATTACTTACCATGGTACCAGGGCCAAGACTTAGAAGCCCCAGTCTGAAGAAATAATTGTCAAATAAATGAATGAGACATGTAGCACCCGCAATGTGCCCTGGAAATGCACACATGAATGAAACAATTTCTTCCTCAAAAGCTCACACTGTAGTACAAGAAAAATGACTGGGAGTTTGGCCAGGATGCCAAGTGGAGATGAAGGGTAAATGGGGGCATCAAATGTACCTGGCATGTTAAGGACACCAAAGCAACCCAGTATGCCTCAAGCATAGGTTCTTCTGGAGAAGTAAGTGGAGATGGGCCTAGAGAGGCACTAGATGCCCCAATAAGACTCTTGGCTCTCTTTCAGGCATGGGGTGCAAGAAAGTTGCTAAAAATAGTAATATATGTAGATCTATTTCTTATTCAGAATATACTCAGGATCATTGGTTTTAAAAAATTCTTCCCTCTAGTGAACAATTAGTATAATGTACATCCATCCATGAGGCCACCGTGATGAGCTCACACACAAAACTGTGGAAAACAGTGGAACCTGGTGGGCACACCAAAACTGCTCTGTGTATACTCATCCGCCCCTCCTCTGCCTTGCACAGTGCCACACTTTTTAAATAGATATTTTAAGAATTTTTAGCAAATTCACAGAGCTGTGCAACTATCACCATAATCCAGTTTTAGAATATTTTTATCACCCCCAAAAGCCCCAATGTGCATTGCTACTGGATCACCTCCAGCCCTAGGCAACCACAGATCTGCTTTTTGTCTCCATACATTTGCCATTTCTGTGCTCGCTTCGGCAGCACATATACTAAAATTGGAACAATACAGAGAAGATTAGCATGGCCCCTGCGCAAGGATGACACGCAAATTCGTGAAGCATTCCATATTTTTTTTTTTTACAGAAAATTGGAATAGATGGTCTTTACCTCAATATAATAAAGGCCATTTATGACAAACCAACAGCCAGCATCATACTAAATGGCCAAAAATTGAAAGCCTTTACTTTAAAATCAGGCACAAGACAAGGATGTCCTTTATCACTACTCCTATTTAATATAGTACTGGAAGTACCAGCCAGGGCAATTAGGCAAGAGAGAGAAATAAAAGGGATAAAGATAGGAAAAGAAGAAGTTAAATTATCATTGTTTGCAGATGACATGATACTCTACATAGAAGACCCCCTAAACTCCATTAAAAGACTCTTAGATACAATAAATAAATTCAGTAATGTAGCTGGATACAAAATCAATACTCAGAAATCAATAGCATTCCTATACATGAACAACAAAATCACAGAGAGGGAAATAAGAGAAACCACACTCTTCACATTAGCAAGCAAAAAAATGAAATATTTAGGAATTACTCTTATGAAAGAAGTGAAAGACCTATACAAGGAAAATTATAATACACTGAAAAAAGAAATTGAAGATGATCTCAGAAAATGGAAAGACATCCCTTGCTCATGGATAGGGAGAACAAACATTGTGAAAATGGCCATTCTCCCAAAACTGTTATACAGATTCAATGCAATCCCAATAAAAATACCATCAACATACCTTATAGATCTAGAGAAATCACTCCTAAAATTCATCTGGAACCAGAATAGACCTAGAATAGCAAAGGCAATTCTAAGCAGCAAAGACAAAGCAGGAGGCATCACAATCCCTGACTTGAAGTTATACTACAAAGCAATAGTACTAAAATCAACATGGTATTGGAATCAAAACAGAGCCGAAGATCAATGGAATAGATTAGAAGATACAACCACAACTACAAACACACTCAACCACCTTATCTTTGATAAAGGAGCCAAGAAGGTTCACTGGAAGAATGACAGTCTCTTTAATAAATGGTGTGGAAAAACTGGCTCTCCATTTGCCGAAAACTAAAGCTAGACCCATGTCTATCACCATGTACTAAATTAAAATCTAAATGGGTCAAATATCTGAATATTAAAACAGAAACACTAAATCTATTGAAAGACAAATTGGGTAGAAACCTTGGAGGCATAGGAGTAGGTAGAGAATTCATGAACAGGACTCAAACCGCACGGGAAATACTTCCCAGAATCAATAACTGGGACCACTTGTTATTAAAAAGTTTCTGCATGTCAAAAGAAATCTCCAGCATAGTGAAAAGAAAACCCACAAATTGGGAAAAGATTTTAGTGAACTCTCTCTCAGACAAGGGACTCTTGTCTAAAACATATAAAGAATTAAAAAAACTCAGACCCCCAAAATTCAAAGATCCAATCCAAAAATGGGTATCTGAGATGAATACGCACTTCTCAGATGAAGAAATACAAATGGCAAATAAATACATGAAAAAATGTTCACCATCATTGGTCATTAGAGAAATGTAAATTAAAACCACACTGAGATACCATCTCACTCCTGAAAGAATGGCCAGGATCAAGAAAACCAACAACAACAAATGCTGGAGAGGCTGTGGGGAAAAAGGAACTCTCCTACACTGTTGGTGGGAGTGTAGACTGGTACAACCTTTGTGGAGGTCTGTCTGGAGATTTCTCAAAAAGCTGGGATAGGAATTCCCATTTATTCCAGCTATTCCACTTCTAGGCATATTCCCAGAAGAACTGAAAGCATCATACCACAGTGATATATGTGCACCTATGTTTATAGCAGCACAATTTGTAACCGCCAGATCTTGGAAACAACCCAAGTGTCCATCAACTGAGGAATGGATAAAAAAGTTGTGGTATTTCTATACAATGGAGTATTACTCAGCTATAAAGAAGGATCACATTGAGATATTTATCAATAAATGGGCGCAGCTTGAGACCATGCTCATAAGTGAAATAAATCAATCTCGCATGTGTGAATACCGAATAGTTTCCCTAATGTAAGTAATGATTCAAATATATAAAAGTATGTGGTAATCATGATTCTCCATTAATGTGGCCTTGAAGCCTTATAAAGTTTTCACTTATTAATTGGAAAGGCTTTATTCTGGGCTTCTTGATATGGAAATATTTGAAGCTATAGTATATGACGTTTTATTCAAATATTTCAAGGAAAAAGACAGACACTATGGTAACTATTATTAAGTCGGGTTATTTGGTGGTGAAGCACTAGGTTCCTGAAACAGTCATGCTTTGACTTGTATTGTTATATTGTTATGTCCTCTTTTATCTCAATCTCTCCCTTATTCATTAAAAAAATTATTTAGTTATTTTTTATGTTTTTTTTAATTAAGGGGAAAAATCTAAAAAGTTAGCAGGATATATAATAGTAACTTTTTTCGATTTCCTATTAACTTGTTGTGAAGTCCTGTAATACTCCCACGATCTTGTTTTGACTGATTAGACTCTGTTCCATTCTGTATGATAGTATCAAGTT